AGACACCTTGCTGTGCTGCAATCCAAAAGGAATCTCATAACACAAGCATTTTACACTAGAAATTTCCCCCGGCCACCACCCAATAAAAAGTTTTTTTTTAAAAAACTGCTCTTTTATGTGATCAGTGAAGGTTTGTGTGCATTCCTAGGTTACAGACTTTAACTCCTAACTTCTCTGGAAATATGACATCTTGTATGGGAGTCAGGAAACTGACAAAATATTTCCCTTAAACTGCTTAGAATTTTTCCAAAACAAAATATCACCGAAGGCAGTCAGAACTTTTTTTTTTTTAAAACATCACTCAGACAAATTAAATTCAGGAAATTCCTATGAATGTTTTCAAACATTGCCACAGTCTGCAGTGAAAAAAACTGTAACCCGTGTAAATAACAACCAGACTCTGAACTCCCTTCATGACTGATTTGGTCTGAAGCAGATCAAATTGAGTGAAATTATCAGGAAAACTCAATTTCCACCAAAAACAAGTTTTATTTTAGCTATTTCCTGATGTGGTTTAGATTTGTAGACACGCAGAGTTGTATGTTGTTGATGAAACATTTAACACGAACCAGTATTGAACAAAAGATTTGTAACAAAACGGCATTTCTATTTTCATAAATTAAATTATAAAAAATTTTAACTTTTTGACTTATGTGCTATTTTAAGCTAATGACAGGTGATATACTGTAGTAGGGCGTGGCAACCATTAGGTTAACATGAAGCATGAAGTATGAAGTACTTCATGAAGTCTAATGAAGCGTAAGTCCCAGTACTCTTTGCTTCTTCCTTTGGGACAGACTTCAAACAAGCAAGGTCACTTGCTCCTTTGGCTTATCATGAAAAGAAATGGACATGCTACTTAGCTGGCTAAAGCTAATCAACTGTCATGATTACACAGGTAATGACCCAAAATGCAGGCTCAGACAACAGTTGGTGAGAAAAGAGGATTTATTTTGCCTTGGGAGAAAAAGGCAAGCAGGTAGCAGGAGGTGGACCTGAGCACGAGAGGATCAGTGATTAGAGATCATTACCTAAATCAACGGGAAGCACAAAGAACAATAGTTAAAGTCGATCAATTCAACTACCATGTTAACTACCACGGTGGCTGAACAAACGATCTGACAAGAAGTGGGAGAAAGGCCAGGGTTTTTATGCAGTCAGAGTGATGAGTTGATTGAAGGCAGGTGAGCTTCAGTGATTATCCAGGCAGGACCAGGGAAATGTGCCACGCCCACCACACAGACAGAGACAAGTACACAACACAAGGATGGGGAAAACAAGGGGAAACCACAGTCACGACTGTCATCGTGACATCAACTTTGTTCCCTAACTTGTATTTCCTGCCTCTCATTCCCAAACCCTTCATAAAAGAGCAAGTGGCTGAAACACAACCAAAAGTTTACTCTTAAATTTACTTGTAGCCACTACAGCTAAACGGGGGTAATTGTGTTGACATTAAGAAGTGGTGTTTTATAAGAGGTGCTATTAAAAGAGATGCATGAAAACACACACATCTCTGTTCATCCCAGCAGCTGTCTGCCAAGTGGAAGGATTCAGGTTCCCGGTCCACAATCTGCAAAGCAAACAAAATCAAAGGATGGCATGGATGTGAGGGAAGGGGAAAGATGGCAGTGAGCTCTGCATTCCTGTCACATGACACCAGGAAACATGCCCAGGATGGAGTCAGGGAAATTCTCCAAGTGAACTGAATGTTCAGACTCAGTCGGTCGAAAGGTGATGTTCCCAAGGGAATAAACACAGCAGGAACCACTTATTCACGACTGACATTATAATTAAGATTTCATTTAATCAACGTCAAATGCAATGCCCCCCCCCCCTTATTTTGTTGTCTCTCAAAGTGCCAATAGCACACCATTTGATTTTCTTTCCCAGTTCAGAGGCATAACGGTGATGACCATATTGTGCCACTAGATGGAGCCAAAGTACCATAAATAAGCCAGATACCAAACCACTGTACTGAACTATTTCTTACAGATTTCTCAACATACTGCCATATGTTTGGATCTTCTTTGACTTTTGTGCAATTTGTGCAGTTTTTTTCTTTTGGTTTTGCACCACTAGATGACACCGCACGTCTTTAAGTGCTGACCACCCAGATGAGGGTCCTGACAGAGGGATTTGCTGCCAACTTCTGTCAGATAGAGCTATCCACCGTGGACTGTACTGTTACAAGAAAAGTCACGTAATGCATGAAGTTAGAGAAAAAATGTTTTTTACTGGGGTCAAATAAATTGGATCACAGTAATATTTTAGACTTCTTGCTGAACTTTTAAAGCTAACCTTTTGATTTTTTTTGGTTGATGACCTTTAGTGACCCCTTGGCTTTATAAGCATTAATTATGTCAAAATGTTAATGTGATATATCTTATTACAAAACACTTTGTTCATGTTATATTAGTAATGTTGAGATTTAAATTGGGACAAAATGGGAGCAGCTTATTATACAATTTTTAGACATTTAAATAAGGATCAGTGATGGCAGTTGGAACGACCGCTGTATATAAACCACGGCTGTTCCTCCCAAACTTTGTTTCGAAGCCAACTGCCAGTTTGGCTGTAATACTAATACTGGCCAGCAGGGGCTGGCTACAAGAAATGTTTGGCTCAAACATACCAGATCTATGCAAAAATTGCTAACATCTGTCGTTATTAGTCAAAATATTTTTTCCACAAGCGATTTTACTGTCATTGGCCAGATTTAGCTCCTCTAATCACCAGTCTGATGGTCCACTTGAAACAAATTTCATATTTATTAAGAAAAGCGAGCTTTAAGATAAAATTGTTGATGTCTATGACTTGTTTTTTTGTTGAAGAATTATTGAAGTTATTTGCTGAAGAAGACCTTAAGCTAGCTTTGGAAACAAAGATCAATTCTGGCTCCAGCTGCTGCGAACAGTAGGTTTCCAGATTGAAGCTGCGTTCAGTTTATTTTGGAGGTCGTTACCGGTTACTGCAAGTTAAGAAAAACCCACTTTGATTCTTTGCAGTTGCCACTTGCCAGGTTCAAAAGGCAAATTATACACTTCCGAGAAAAGCCATTTTGGAACTATGGAACTACTTTATGATCGCTAAAGCTGACGGGCAGGGGCCAACACCAGAGAGGTTTTCCAAATGTCACTTCCACGGATTGAGTGATGGAATAAATCTGCAGAAGTACAAATTAAATTTACCTCTTACCTACAGGGAGGGCGACCGTGTGGGTTAGAGCTCGACACGCACCGACGGTCCCGTCAGCATCAGACGGCTTTAACTGATACACGTAAACAGATTTACTCACTTTAAGTGACCTTTTATACGCAGGAAATGTTTATCGTTTCCGCAACGGCATAAGAAGCTCCGCTCACTTTCTGTTCAGTTGGTTGCGTTAACCAGCTGGTTTGCTACGGTCACCAAGGTTCTGATGGAACTGGAGCAGAAATACAGCCTCAGATCGTCCGGCACTCGTCCCACGGCCGCTTGGAAAGTTCACACATTTCAGCAGAAGCAGAAGCAAAGAAGCCACAGTTCAGTTTGGCACCGTTTGGGCTCCATCCAAAGTCAAGGAGCGCTGGTTCAGTTCCACCGCAGGCCTCACTGTTCTCACCGGTCGTCTCCAGCAGCAACATGCGACTGTTTGAAACCGGTGTGTATGTGCTATTGCCTGGGAACAAATATTAAACAGACACAGTCACAGAAGAGCATCTGAACCAAGCGCAGCGCTCAGAGACTAAAGAGCCACATATTTTCCAGAGGAGTCAAAACCACAAGAGCAGAGCCAACACCGGTCAGGTTTGTCCAAATGAGCGATATTGTTGCTCAGCGTCAGATGTGTGTTTAAATTAGACGCTGTTTGCGAACATGTTCACTTTTACACGGCTGTATAACGTTATTGCTCCGTTTACGGCCTGACGCTCGTCCAAACAGCCGATTACTTCACGTCTAAACGGACTTGTTTTAAAGTTTTATGTCGAGCGTAATGAAAAAAGACAAATATGGACTTTCATCTGTGCGAGCCGTCCAATCACCAAAGATGATGTCATTAAACTGCTCCATTATTCAATTGTCTAAAACCCTGTAAAACTCTGTTTATTGTTTAATAAGAGACTGAAACGTCTGCAGGTCGGGATGAGATGGATGGAGAAATATTTGATTTTTCGTTTATTTTCATCCCCTGGTAAATATCTTAAATGTTTGTTTGCTAACAGGTGACCACAGGTTGAAGACACCTGCTGCAGTGCATCTTAGAAACAGCACAAAGTTCAGAAAGAGAATAAAATTGCTCTTGGAAATGGTCAAAACGCTGTGTGAATTTCAGTCATGATTTTCGGCCAAAGGACAGTGTTTCACCTGGGCTCAGTCTGACACGCCGAGGTTGTGTGAAGCAACTTGTTTTCTCTAAAACGGTACCAAGAGCCTGAGGGTTTTACACTTTACCTCACAGACGCATCGATGTGTCAGCTGCTCCAGGATCCCAGCGCGCTGACTGACCTGCAGGCCAACAGGAGACATGCAAGAGCGGCACCGTACAGGAGGTCAGCTGTTCGGTTCCCAGCACTCGGGGATGAAGTCAACGCGCCACAGTTGCACACTGTAAAGAAGACTGAACATATTCATAAACAAACATCACCATCCTGCCCTGACCAATGGCCGTCTGTGCCACAGTGGTGCTGACTCTCTGCCCAGGCCGGGCAGAAAGTCCCTGCTTTCATATGTGGTTTTGGACGAAGGTGGAATTCTGAAGCATGCAGCCGTGTATGCATGCGACCGTGAATGCAAACAGCACAATATTTAGAGAAGCAGCATTTTTTCCCTGTCTGTGTTTGGAAAATTAGGAATGTTAAAAGTTGAACATCAGAATTAAAGGCAGGTTCCTGCAGGCTGTGTGGTTTTAAAGCATTTTGCAATCAGATTTCACAACATCATTACTGTCTTTGAGCAGCAGACGCCTCCACTTCTGAAGACCACAGTTAGAAGAGGAGGAAAAAAAAACAAGGAGTAGAAGTAGAAGAAATAGATGAAGGATAAGAAGACAGAATTAAAAGTAGAAAAAGAAGAAGAGGTAGAATAAGAAAATAAAGATCTAGGAAAATAAGAAAAAGTAGAAAATGTAGTAGACGCAGAATAACTACTGTAGCAGAACAAGAAATAGAAGTTGAGGAATAATAGTAGTAGAAATAGAAAGAATAGAGGCAGAATAGGAAGTAAACGAAAAAGATGGAAAGATGAGGTAGAAGTAGTAGTAGTAAAAGAAGAAAAAAAATGTAGCAGAAAAAGTGGAAGAAAAGAAGTAAAAAAAAGATGTAGAAAATGAGGAATAACCAAAGTAGGAATAGGAAGGAGAGGAAGTGAAAGAGGTAGAAGAAAAGGTAGAAGAAGAAGACGAGTGATGATGAGCAGACGATAACGCTCCGTGGCCCCGGGGGAACTGGGAGCAACAGTAAAAAAACAGAAGTAGGTTAAGGATGATGAAAATTCCTGAGGCACGTGACGCGAGAAGGAAAATGTCAAACGTGACATTTATCGCTCAGAACTGTCCAAAATGTGTAATTTCTGTCACCGGACACATTCTTTAAACACTGCATGACGGATTATGAATCTGTCTGGAGATGTTGAAGAGCTGGCGGCGGGTCGACGGTCGTGCACAGCTGTTTGATTTTCAGGAAGATTGATGTTTGAAGGGCTGCACAGCCTGGTACCATCACAGGTCTCACCACCGTGAAACTCAGCTCTCCTCCTCATGTGGTCGAAGTGTGAGTGTGTGTGAGAGAGAGAGAGTGTTTTCCTCGTTTCCAAACAGTGGGAGAAAGTTTCCATTTGGCTACTTCACAGATACCTCCCCGTGGCCGCTCCGTGCCTCCACTGACAGCTCTCTGAAGGGAGCTGCCATTTACGTGTTTCAGGTGCTAATCTCCGTCTGTGGCTGAGGTCAGCTTCAAGCTGCATGGGTATTAAAAACAGTGGAACTGGGAGGGAGGGGGGGAGGGGGGGTGATACGGGGGGGGGGGGGGGGGGGGGTGATACACTGGCCTGTGAGGGAGTCTGACAGCTCCTCAACTTGATGGAACCGTCACTTCACAACACAAGAAAAACACGTGCAATCATGTTCTGTTCTGCTTCACTTCAAATATGATGTTCTGCAGCGATCATGTTCAACTCCTTCAGGCTTTAGAAGATGGATCGCACGGAGGTTGGAGGGTTGGGGCTGCTGTCGCACAGTAAAATGATCAGGGTTTGATCACCACATGGTCTGAAGTTTGGCCCTTCCTCCTGGTGTTGGTGGTGTTTTTTCTCTGATTTCCTTCAAAACAAAAGAAACCCCATGCAGATTAGGTTAATGGTTGACTCAAACTGGACAAGAAGGTGTGAGTGCAAATATGAG